CGCAAATTTTTGGGTTCCATCTGCTAGTTGTACGCTTGGTTGTTCCGGAAATAATTTATTCTACAGTAATAAATCAAGCACATTCCGAGAAGACGGTCGTCGCTGGGGTTTGATATACGAAGATGGTTCGTATGCACAAGGATTTCTAGGAATCGATACTGTGACGGTAATTAATGTTCAATGCTTTTTACTGGCATTTTTTCATTTCACATAACGAAGAGATCACCTGCCACACGTAGCATGTATTTTCTAGATTCTGGAATCTAAAACAAAAACATACACAGGGGTCAATGTAAGCGCCAAAGCACTAGAATCGGTTTTGTATGCAGCTATATAGCGCCCCATAGGTTCTGTTTTTTCCAAACTTTTGTTCCATGGCGTGTGATTTTACGACCACATTCTAATCAGTATAACAAACTTGCAATTCATGATTTTTAAAAGCTCAGTTCACAGTATTGTCTAGTCTTTTCCAAGGAAATACATGATTTACTTGACCTAGAACTGAGTTGTCAACGTCTTTTGCGGCATAATTATAGAACTTGCTGTGCGTAAGTCATTTGCCCAACCTGTAAAGCTACAGTTAGCTGAATTACCTGCTATCCACACTGCGCTAAATGCTGCCTATAGGTTGCGTGGAAATTATTTCTGTGCAGCTAAACAACATTTGCACAGTGCGAATTCATCATCAATGGCAAACCCCAGTGTAGGAGGAATTGATGTTGGTGGAAGATGACCTCACCGCGTGACTTCATTTTTTGAGCTCACAATTTTGTGACATCATTTTGTGCGCCTCAAGTTCGCTTTTGTATATACCACTTTTAAAGCTTGTATGCTTAAGGGCCGGAAAATTCTGGTATTTTTGATATATGAAAATATGCAACTTCTAAGATGGTGGCACGGGCGACACGCTTACAAACTTTAAGCTTTCTGGCTTATTTAATTAACTGGGAAAATTACGAAATTTCAGTATGGCGATCAAAGATCTGACTTATCTGTAGACAGGAGATAAGTCCACATAGAAACTAATTTAAAATTCGGCAGGCCGCAAATGAGTAGGAAATATTCTCATACAATTTCAGCTTTCTATCTTCTTTAGCAACTGAGCTTGAAAACAACAAAATTTGAACTCACCTACATACATACATCATATGCACATACGAAGGCAAACGCACACTGGCATTTACACGCTATACATTTTTGCCTTTCACCATCATACAGTGATTTCTAAAGGAACCGTCTGAAAACAGAAGCTGGACTGGCGCGCGGCAAGGATGCCAGATAACAAACAGACGAAATGATTAGTAGGGTGACGATATCCTAGATGTGTTAAAAAACACAATGGAAGCAACGGCATTTGCTGGACCGATCCGTAAAGTTGAATTTCTGAAATGTTCCAAATGAGAAATCATAAGATAGTAGTCAATGGAAGAGTTGCGAGTTACACAGACACAGATTCAGATTATGAGTTAATGGCTGTTCTAGTTTTTACAAGATATACCTTATGTGCAGGGTGACTTGCTTTTGTTCGTGCATATCAGCTATCTGTAATGCAGCACACGTCACACCACGCGCGTCCAGCCTTTAATATAATTTGTAGTTAAGACTAGCAGGACTTTCCGGGCAATCATTATAGGGTCTTATTACGGTGATACCACGAAGCTAGTTCCAGACGCAGGACATGAACATGTCAGACTGTTACGGTCGAACTTCTTGGTTAGTTCCTTTTTCTTGTTCTCGTAACATTTAATATTTCCTTTACAGATTGGAGAAAGTGGTACAAAACAGATGAAAATTACCGAGCAGATATTTGGCCTAGCAACAGAAAAGGGTGGATTTGTGAATCAAACTATAGATGGTGTTTTCGGGATGGGTTTTTCTGCTCTTGCAGATCATCAGATCCCGACACCGATTAGTCAGGCTTATGAACAAGGAGCTATCGAGAGTCCGATGTTCACTGTGTGGCTGCAGCACAATGTAATTTTCTTATGATATTTATAAAAGCAACTAAGATCACCTAGAAAACTGTCGTGATGACGGCATCGCTTTCTCAGGCCAAAATAGTCATGCGAAGATAGGCAACCCTTTAGGGTTTTTTTTTCAAAACTACGCAATTGCGCTTACGTCCTTAGTCAACGCATCACATCTTTCTTTCCAGAAAATGCTGCTTGATAATGCACAGTTTTTAATATTTTTCATCAAAAGCATAGGATTTTGCTTCCCCCTGTGATTGCAGCAAAATCGCAATGGCATTTTTCAGCCGCTAAGTATGTCTGCTTCTTGGTCTTCATCGTATATAACTTGCAAGGAGATAAAAAAGGGTGTGACTGAAAGTAGATGTTTTTCCAGAGTTGTCCTTCCCGACAGACTTCGAATCCATAACTTTCACGCGGAATAGATATGTGAC